AAGAGATAGTCTAGTCTTCCTCGCCGTGGGAGAGGAGGACAGACGCCGCACCCACAGACGGACCGCATCGAATCTCAGGAGGAGACGGATCCGCTCAGGTTCGGGAAGCGAAAGCTCGACACTTTTGTCGAAGCTGGTGGCATGGGAACAGGCTTTTAAGTACTTGGCCGTTTTGGATAACATATCGCCCTACATGAAGTCCATCGTCGTGGAATCTCGTCCTCCGCCACGTGGCATGTTCGGCTTCTTGTGGCGCTTCTGCCTCGGCATTCAGTCGCTGATGGACGACTCTCTTGTGGAGGAGCGTAAGAGCGTCTTCTGTATTGCGAAAATGCCCTTCAAAGACTCCGACGAAGTTCATAGGCGGATGCTGTTCAGCGTTTACGTCAGACTGACAGGTGATTCCAGACCCGTTCCTCGACTAGGGGACCACTGGGAAACTATAGGGTTCCAAGGCAAAGACCCAGCCACAGATCTGCGGGGATGCGGGATGCTTGCGCTGCTGCAGCTGCTGTATGAAGCGGAGCACAATGCAGAGAACATGGGCTGCATCTTCAGACTGTCCCAGGATGGAACTCACGGGTTTCCGCTAAGTATCATTTCAATCAACATCACCAAATGGGCGTTGGAATCACTGCGCGCCGGAACGTTATCGAGAGAGATCAATAAGCAGAGGAGCGTGATGGACGTGATTAATCAGTTCCATAGGGGGGCTTTGCATGACTTCTACAATAGATGGAAGAATGGGGGAATGACAATGTTGCACTCGGGGTTTCTGCTGAAGGAGGTGGAGGAAGCAGCGATGAAAAGACCGACGGCGACGATCGGCCGAGCGTCGAGCACATTGAAGGAGTGGGTGCCGCCTCGGGTTCCGCTGGCAGTGGAATCTGTAAGGGGTTGATTGACCTTCGCCGAGAGGGTAATGGTCGTTGAGGATTGGATTAGATAAGAAAGGATTGGAAGAGTAATTATCATCAGCTTGTAAAAAGGGAGGGGGGGGGGGAGGAGGGGTTCGACAAAGGAGAGATGGTTTGGAAAAGGGAATAAAACCGGGCGCGATTCTGTGGCGTCGGAAAGTTTTGCAAAGGCCTGGGGCGCCTGTTTCACCGATCTGTCCACGGCGCGCAGTGGATAACGCGGGGAACTGGAGGGGGGGGGGGGGGGGGGGGGGGGGGGGGGGGGGGGGGGGGGGGGGGGGGGGGGGGGGAGGGGGATGGGAAAAGGAATGGGAATGGGAATGGGATTGAGATTTGGAACAGGAGCAGTGGTGGGATTATGGAAGAGGGAAAGGAATCGGGAACAAGGAAGTGGACCTGGAACAGGAAGGGAAGGCTGGGATTGAAAGCTATGTAACCGGGTGAACGCGTTGAACGCGCTGTAGGCGCGAATACCCTTACAAGGGTATCCGCCCTGGTTTTTGCATGCGACAGAAAATAGGCTTGGTTTAGAATTTAAGTATTCTGCGTGAGGCGCGACCGCGTCTGTGATTTACGACGACAGGGGTGGTTGACTAGAATAAAGAGTATGTGGGCGCGCGGATTTAAGGCGCGCGTGATCTTTTTGTTGATGATTGAAGAGTCGGCGTGGTCACCGGCCAGAATTTGGTTTTTTCTGATTAAGTAGGGATTAAAGGGGTTATGTCCCGTTGACTATGGCGTTTGCCTGTGACTTGGGCATACCCGCGGAGGACGACATCGACAGTGAGGAGGCTTTGAAACATTTTCAGTAGGTTCACGTGCGGGTCCGATAGGCGTGTTACTGCGCGTACTCCCTATGCTACATCGAACGAGAAACGCCATCGGCTGGTCCACCTCTGCGATTGCAACCGAGTAGCTTTCATACTATGGACTGGTAGCTCGGCGGGGATACGCCCACCGAAGGGAGGTGACAGCTCCCGTAAGGTGAAGGTAAGTTGTGCCTCGCGTAGGCCCTATCCTGTCGTAGGGGCTCGCGAGAGGTATGGCTGGCGCACTCAGGCGGAGCGGCCTAAGGAAGCTCCATTCGCGGTCTGGTGTTGGCGCACTTGCGTTTGCTTTTTGCAATCTCATTACAGCGTGTTACATCGCTGTATTTAATCGCGTCGCCGCAACTTCCACAATTTCAACACTCCCCACTGCCAACCTCTTCCACTTCCAATGCGATAGTCCCTTTCCGTCCTAACCCCATCCCTACCACTACTGCTGCACCCTGGATACCTAGACAACGGAACAATGACGGCGAGGTTTTCTCGTTTCTCCGCGAACTCGTTCATGACAAAAGAGAAGAGAAGGACAGGAGGCGCGAAGAGGAGGAACGTCGAAGGAAGGAAGAGCAAAGAAGGATTGACAAGGAAGAGGAGAGAAAACGACTCGAGGAAGAAGAGGCTCGGCAGGCTGAGAAGGAAGCTCGTATGGCCAGAATCATCCACTCCAAGATGGAGGAACTTGACAGACAGCACCAGGCAAGAACTGAAGAGGAGAATAAAAAGATTTGGAAGGAGATTGAGCGAGTGGTTGAAGAACCATCACGCAGCAAGCATGAGAACGAGGCAGCTGTCGAGGAAGTTGACAACCGCAAACGCTCACAGTAGATGATCGAAGGGTCTCTTCCGACTCTCCCAGCTCAGGGCAAGGCCCGTACTACGACACCTACATGACAAGGACCTCCTCTTTCATCTCTGGACGCTGGTCTTCTTCTCATGGAGATTGATAAGGTTCAGCGTACGCAGGATACTCAGTTCGGCATTATCCGTCGAATGATGGAACTAGTTGAGAACTTAAATTCTTCTATCTCTCTGCCTACCAGGACTCAGGCTCAGGCCCCAAGGGACCCCGGTCCTTCTAGCCGGGCCCCTACCCGACCTCCCCATTCATCTGCTTTCCCCTCTTCCCGTCCTCCTCCCCCTCCCCCTCCCCCTCCCCCTCCTCCTCCTCCTCCCCCCCCCTCTTCATCCGATCATCTCCACCTCCTCCTCCTCCTCCTCCTCCTCCTTATCCACGGAAGAAGACCCCTGCCTCGACGGATCCTTGTTCGTCTAAAGGACGTGTAGATGAGAACAAGACTCCTAGTGCTAATCGCTTCTCTGCCAGGCTTGCTGACATGTTCGCCTCAGTGGCTGGAAATGTGGCGCGAAGAAGATCACGATCTGTTTCCCGTGCCAGACGTGCTGCAGCCGATGAGCCGCTCGTTTTTTATCGCGTGATTCCAGGCAGAAAGGCCTCGGTTGCCTCCCCCGGTACAGAAGGCCGAAAGAAGTACGCAGAAGACCTGAAGAAAGAACTGCTCACCAAGCCTAAGCACCAACTGGAGTCGCTCTGCAAGGCCGACAAGATCAAGTATTATAACAAGAAGCAGGCCTCTACCGATCTGGCGGAGATCCGTACACGAGATGCATACGGCGACGACTCAGATGACGAAGGCCTTGATAATATTGCGTCCGACACTCAAGAGAAGAACCCCTCTTGGTAATCTGCGGATCCCGCCGTTATTTGGCGGTACTGGTTTAAAACCTTTGGTAACAGGAGAGATGTGGCCATGAGGGCGTCAGAATGGGAATATAGAGAAGCATGGGCACGATTTTTGGTCATCCTCCTCGCTTTTTTGGGTCAACTAGCTTGGGCTAAGAAGTTTCTTAGTTTATGGTAAGATATCCTTGCAAATGGTCTAGATCTGTTTCACCCCGCTGGTCCTTGTGTCCATGTACTGATTTCCCCTTTCTTCCATGAAGTTTATATCGGTTCTACGACTAGGAATCTTACGGATCGCTGACATGAACACATTAGACTGCTTTATAGCCGCACTGGTAGTCATTCCCATCGTCTTATTTCCTAGCTCGGTAAGAAAGGTTGGTACTCATACGTTGCTATCCCTACCTCCTTCCCTCCACTGGACGAATTGAGACATGCTGAATCCCTCTTTATATCACAATGGAACCCTGCGCTCAACTCTCGTGTTTTTCACAAGAAGCATGGATGTCGTAGGATAGGAACATTCTTCTCATTCACCAAGGAGTCACTCGCACCTCGTTTCCAGAAATGCTCATCTGTTTTTCCGTTGCCCCTGGTTCGGCCCTCCCTCCCCCCAACCCCTCGCCATACTTCTACTCTCTCCTCTCCTGCCTGGATGCTTGTCGAAGTAAAGGTGTTACCACCGCTACCGTAATTAGCTCTGGAGGCGAGATCTTTCTCGAAGCTTGGAGTAGACTTGCCAGATGTTTTGGCTACTCATCTGTGTTTATCAATGATCAGATCATGGTCTTTAACTTTTTGAAATCTCAGGTTATCGCCGGCGCCTCGTTCACTTTTACCTGTATCCGCAGAAATTTTAACGCTAGAGAGAGACGTAAGAATACTCTCATTTCTTTGCTACACGTCCCCTGGACTATCAGCTTGTTACATAAATTTTCCCTCTCCAGCCTTATCAAGCTCTACAACACTACTGACCTTCTATCCTCTACTGAAACTAGAGGAAAATCGAAAAGATTAGTGGGATGATTTATTTCTAAGAATGTCGGGTTCGAATGCATGCATCGCCTTGTGATAAAAATTAGATTCAATCCTTCTATTAGGAAGTCTGCGGTCGCCTACATCACCAAGAACGAAATCAGAAAACGCGTTCAACAATCCTGCTTATGCGATTTCCTGATCTCAAGGATTCGTATTGTTTGGACTGGTAACTTATCCATTGCTAGGAGGTTTCACAACCATCGGGAATGTGTCAAATCAATCACTTCCGCATGTACTTGTGCTACCCTGACTGGATTTCCCCGCAATGTAGACGGTCATGTTTCTTTCCGTTTCTCTGAACTTCCTAACCTTCCCTCATTATTAACTAACTCTAATAACATTTGTAAACCCTCCCTTACTACCTCTTCCAACCACATCATGCATGCGATCAAAACTGGGTTAACCAAATTGCCCGACTACCATAACTACCGACCTTCAAGACCAGCTATTTTGGGTTGTTTTTCCACCAGGCACCCCTCTGATCATTTCATTTCCCTCTTATGGGTAACGAAATTAGAAGGTCTGGTTGTTATGCCTTTAGATCACAATTCCGGGGATACCTTCGCCTGTTGTCAACTAATCTACTCGAATGCAATGAATGAACTCTTCCTGAAGAGCCTAGGATTCACACTTTTTTGACAAACCATGTGCCCGGGTTGTCTCCAAGCTTAAGGAAGATTTTTTGAACTCTAATTCTCATCGCCTTGCAGGCTGGAAACAGAGAGCTAATTTTGGACAGTGCTATGTGATTCCCAAGCATAAGGATACAAGCAGGTGGAGACCTATCTCACCGTCTTTCTTCGAACCTACGGTTCGGATAAGCAGGATAATAGGGAAAGCCATTAATGCACTTCTATGGTCACTCTCTCCCCACCTTCACTACAACCTCCGCTTCACTTCCATGGTTAGGGAAAGAATAACCTCCTTACATAAAAAGGCGAGAAGATTTTCTGATGGTTTCCTACTATCTACGAGTTTCGACATTAAGGAAATATTTACCAAGCTTCCACATGTCTCTATCATCACAGCACTAGATTTGATCTGTGACTTTTTCAGGGCTAAGGGAACGAACAGTGTTTGGGTAAACAAGCTAGGCAACGGGGTAACCCTCTCTTCGAAATCTGTAGTCATCGGATAGGTTAGAGTTAAGTTTTCCCAATTAATTGCCTCGGTCAAATTCGAGCTAGAGAACATCTTCATTTTCGCCGGTTCTCAGCTTCTGCGACAAGTCATAGGCGTACCTATGGGAAAAAGTTCCAGTCCAGCCCTGGCTTGCCTACTTTGCTCCTACAATGAGTTCTGTTTTATCTCTTCCATAGGCACGGATGCTCGCTTCATCACGGGACTTGGCTTGATCGACGATGTCGACATATTTTTCCTCTTTCCTCGAATCAACAAGTTTTTCATATAAAAAAAAAATTCTATCTACAAGGGCTTTCTCGCATCATACGGTAACAACCTTACTCTTCTTCATACAAATGATGAAAGTGGCTGCTGGGAATTTTTGGGTTCCACGGTTATAACTTTTTGCGCCCCTCCTTCTGCAAGATGCGTTGCCACCATGAAGAATCAGATATGTTTGGACGACACACCCCCACCTCTGATTTTGACCACACAAGATTTCACTTCATATGGACCAATTCAGCAAAAACAAGGGGTTGTTTTGTGCCACTTGAAGAGGTTACTGACCCACTCCTCAGACAACAGAGGCGTGGGTCTCAGTTTGCTTGCATTACGACGGGTGTTTAGACTCAAACAATTTCCTCGTAGTATGTTTCCTAGATGCCTCAAGGGGTTTTCCCTCAATCACCGTAGAATTTGGGATGCATGGGTTGATATTTTCTCTACTTTTGAGGAATTTTTCCCCACGTAGAAACGGCCTTTTTGAATTATCAATGGCCTGGAACGGTCGACGCCTCCCCCACAACCCCTATCGGACCTAGGACGCAAGGGTAGTTACTACATCCCGATTCTCTGGACTCGACCCCTCAGTTCAGCAGCCTTTGACCTATGAATTCCCTGCCGCCACTAGGCGTCCTTTCCTGATACCCAACTTTTGTACCCCGTCTGACCTTTTAGCTAAGGACGGTTGCTGCATTCAAGTATTTAGTCCCCGAGGTAGTCTCTGAACACCTTTCTTTTTGATACGCGTCGTCCATTCTCTGCGCCCAGTTTCCCGACGTGAGTTTTTTGGAATTTGTATGTGCGCCCTATGCACCCAGGACACAGGGCACTCCTCTAGGTAATTCCCGCCTTATTCCATCACCGTTCCCTTCTCCGCCTCTCTTCTCCCCGCTCCCCTCCCCTTCTCTCTCTCTCTCTCTCTCTCTCTCTCTCTCTCTCTCTCTCTCTCTCTCTCTCTCTCTCTCTCTCTCTCCCTCCCTTCCATCCTTCCTTTTCCCTCCCTCTCTTTCTTTTTCTCTCGCCTTCTCTCGCTCTGAGACTCCTGTCATCAGACCCTTTCTATCTTCGGGGTTTCGTTTTCTCGACCGGTCCCTAACTCCCTATTTCGATGTTCTGTTCGTTGATTGTGGTTGTTGTATTTCTGAGGAAACTACGAGTACTAGCGGTACCTCTGACTTTCTGCTTCAAGAATTCATTCGCCCTGCAGTCTTTGAAGTACCATCCAAGTTTGCTTTGTGACATCCCTTCAACGGCTCCGTGGTATTCTCTTGTGACCTTCGGCCGCATCAATACTTTGCCCGAAGCATCGGCGGGTTGCAGCTTTGGCGCCGTCGCTACCTTTGTCTCATGTTCTCAGATAATGATACATCTACGACACATGCTCTGTGGGACTCGGGTTAGAGAACATATTCATTTCGCCGTGCCGCTTGTGCAACATTGATGGGTCTGTTCCACTCGGATTTTGACACGTGCTCTAACTTTCGAATCTTTTTTGACTCTGGTAATCAACCCGGACATTCGCTCCGCGGAAGTTTCTTACAACCTACCCTTCTCTGTCCGTTTAGAGTGTCACACCAGTGGCTCTAACGCTTTATTTTCACTGTCAAACAATTGATAGGACTCTTGATAGTTGTTTGTCAGATGGTTCCCTTCTACTCCTCCGACGGGTCAACCCTTTGGCTTTCTATGATTAGTTCTGCACTCTGCAGTTTCAGGATCTCCTTCGAGTCTGCTCCTTTGTCCGTCTCTCCCTCTATGACTCTCAAGATGATCGTCGGATCTTACCTCCAGTCTTGCCATTCTTTCCCAGACCTCTACTCCTCCTTGCCCTCTAAGCTTAGTGAGCTTCTTCTGTGTGACGACTACGGATCATAGGGATATTCTACATGATGAAGTACTATATATTGAGCACTCAGATCGACTTTGACATGCGCTCCTTTCGTCCCCTGACGATTTCGTTTCTCGCGAACGGATGAAACGATCGTAGGGACTTCGCCAGCATGGCCCTACTTGTTGTACGCTGATTTTACACAAGTGTCTGTTTTTTCACGCGTATCTTATGGCTACTTTCTTGTATACCTTCTCCTTCTCCTGCTCTTTCTCCCTATCATCCATCTCCATCACTATGGTTGTGTCCTACATCTTTTTTCACTTCTAATCTATCGGGTTTTGGTGTTTAACGCACTTCTGTGTTTTTCATGATTTCCATGATGCTATGGTTGTGTCCTATATTTTTTTTCACTTCTAATCTATCAGGTTTTGGTGTTTAACGCACTTCTGCGTTCTCCATGATTTTTGTAGCGTCTTAACCACTTCGTTATTCGCAGTCTGGTGTCGGCGCACTTGCGTTTGCTTTTCACGATCTCGTTACACCGTGTTACATCGCTGTATTTAATCGCGTCGCCGCAATTTCCGCAATTTCAACACTCCCCACCGCCAACCTCTTCCACTTCCAATGCGATAGTCCCTTTCCGTCCTAATCCCATCCCTACCACTTCTGTTGCACCCTGGATACCTAGACAACGGAACAATGACAGCGAGGTTGTCTCGTTACTCCGAGAACTCGTTCATGACAGAAGAGAAGAGAAGGACAGGAGGCGTGAAGAGGAGGAACGTCGAAGGAAGGAAGAGCAAAAAAGGATTGACAAGGAAGAGGAGAGAAAGCAACTCGAGGAAGAAAAGGCTCGGCAGGCTGAGAAGGAAGCTAATATAGCCAGAATCATCAACTCCAAGATGGAGGAACTTGACAGACAGCACCAGGCAAGAACCGAAGAGGAGAACAAAAAGATTTGGAAGGAGATTGAGCGAGTGGTTGGAGAACCATCACGTAGCAAGCATGGGAAGGAGGCAGTTGTCGAGGAAGTTGACAACCGCAAACGCTCACAGCATATGATCGAAGGGTCTCCTCCGACTCTCCCAGCTCAGGGCAAGGCCCGTACTACGACACCTACACAACAAGGACCTCCTCTTTCATCTTTGGACGCTGGTCTTCTTCTCATGGAGATTGATAATGTTCAGCGTACGCAGGACACTCAGTTCAGCGTTATCCGTCGAATGATGGAACTAGTTGAGAACTTGAATTCTTTTATCTCTCTGCCTACCAGGACTCAGGCTCAGGCCCCAAGGGACCCCGACCCTTCTAGCCAGGCCCCTACCCGACCTCCCCATTCATCTGCTTTCCCCTCTTCCCCTCCTACTCCCCCTCCCCCTCCCCCTCCCCCTCCCCCTCCTCCATCTCCCCCTCCTTCCAATCCTCCCCCCTCTTCATCCAATCTTCCTTCACCACCTCCTCCTCCTCCTCCTCCTTATCCACGGAAGAAGACCCCTGCTTCGACGGATCCTTGTACGTCTAAAAGACGTGTAGATGAGAACAAGACTCCTGGTGCTAATCGCTTCTCTGCCAGGCTTGCTGACATGTTCGCCTTAGTGGCCGAAAATGTGACGTGAAGAAGATCACGATCTGTTTCCCCTCCCAGGCATGCTGCAGCCGATGAGCCGCTCGGTTTTGATCGCGTGATTCCAGGCAGAAAGGCCGTGGTTGCCTCCCCCGGTAAAGAAGGCCGAAAGAAGTACGCAGAAGACCTAAACAAAGAACTGCTCACCAAGACTAAGCACCAACTAGAGTCGCTCTGCAAGGCCGACAAGATCAAGTATTGTACCAAGAAGCAGGCCTCTGCCGATCTGGCGGAGATCCGTACACGAGATTCATACGGCGACGACTCAGATGACGAAGGCCTTGACAATATTGCGTCAGACACTCAAGAGGAGAACCCCTCTTGATAATTTGCGGATCCCGCCGTTATTTGGCGGTACTAGTTTAAAACCTTTGGTAACAGGAGAGATGTGGCCATGAGGGCGTCAGAATGGGAATATAGAGAAGCATATGCACGATTTTTTGTCATCCTCCTCGCTTTTTTTGGTCAACTAGCTTGGGCTAAGAAGTTTCTTAGTTTATGGTCAGATATCCTTGCAAATGGTCTAGATCTGTTTCACCCCGCTGGTCCTTGTGTCTATGTACTGATTTCCCCTTTCTTCCATGCAGTTTATATCGGTTCAACGACTAGGAATCTTACGGATCGCTGGCATGAACACATTAGACTGCCTTATAGCTGCACTGGTAGTCATTCCCATCGTCTCAAATCCTGGCTCGGTAAGAAAGGCTGGTACTGATACGTTGCTTTCCCTATCGCCTTCCCTCCGCTGGAGGAATTGAGACATGTTGAATCCCTCTTGATATCACGATGGAACCCTGCGCTCAACTCTCGTGTTTTTCACAAGAAGCATGGATGTCGTAGGAAAGGAAGAAGAGAGAAGGCTATTTTTCTCAATCACCAAGGAGTTACTCGCACCTCCTTTCCAGGAAGGCTCATCTGTTTTTCCGTTGCCCCTGGTCCGTCCCTCCCTCCCCCCAACCCCTCGCCATATTCCTACTCTCTCCTCTCCTACCTGGATGCTTTCGAAGTAAAGGTGTTACCACCGCTACCGTAATTAGCTCTGGAGGCGAGATCTTTCTCGAAGCTTGAAGTAGACTTGCCAGATGTTTTGGCTACTTATCTGTGTTTATCAATGATCATATCATGCTCTTTAAGTTTTTGAAATCTCAGGTTATCGCAGGCGCCACGTTCACTTTTACATGTATCCGAAGAAATTTTAACGCTAGAGAGAGACGTAAGAATACTCTCATTTCTTTGCTACACGTCCCCTGGACTATCAGCTTGTTACATAAATTTTCCCTCTCCAGCCTTGTCAAGCTCTACAACACTATTGATTTTTTATCCTCTACTGAAACTAGAGGAAAATTGAAAAGATTAGTGGGATCATTTATTTCTAAGAAAGTCGGGTTCGAATGCATGCATCGCATTGTGATAGAAATCAGATTCAATCCTTTTATTAGGAAATCTGCGGTCGCCTACATCACCTATAACGAAATCAGAAAACGCGTTCAACAATCCTGCTTATGCAACTCCACGTCGTTGCTTGGTACTCTTGTTTTGCCTGCCACGTCGCTAGGTCGATCCCCACGGTGGATGACAGGGTGGTGCACCCTGAGTCCCCGCCACCTCCTCACAACTCTCCTTCCTCCCTGCGATACACCTGAGTTTCTGCAACCTCGTGGCCACCCTCCCTTCTTCGTGCTGTAGCGCAGCTTCGCCTTGCCACCCTCCTTCTCCATGCTCATCCTGCTGTAGCTTAGCTCCATCTTGCGCCGTCACTGCGTCGTTCTCGGGTGACGGCGCCCAAAAATTTGCTCATCCCCAGACTGGAAACCAGGGGTGAACCTTACCGCCTCATGCGGGTATGTTCGCTCGACGTTATTTTAACGGGAGCAAAAACTCTCAAAAGTCCACTGAGTCCAGCCGACAGCGGCACACTGTGGAAATTTTGAAAGTGAGTCCCAGTATGCCACTGGCAGCTTAAACGCAAATGTGCAGCATTTCGTTTTTCCGTTTGGGAGGGCTACTTGTGGCGCCTGGGCGGGATAACGTAATTTGGCCTCCTACATTTTGACATGATTTTGTTGGTTTGTCTCTTCCTTACGGAAGGAGGGGGAGGGGGGGAGGGGCTGCGACTTGTGGGTGATCTCGGGTCAGCGGGTTAGCTGACCCAGGCCATATATTCACCCACTTGCGACCCACCCATACAGCCTGATACAGGTGACCGAGGCCTGACATTGACCCGCCCACCACCAATCAAGACCAGCCAACTCAGAACCACCCTCGCCTGACCCAAGCCGGGTTATTTACACCCACACCTGCGGGTGCGGGTAGGTGCACGTGGGTGCCGTTCTAGGTACTCGTTGCTCATCTTTGCCCTACAGTTCGTTACTCCTCTCGCTAGGGTACCCTCTCCGACCCCGCTCACCCAGCGAGTGGCTACCTTGCAGGCCAACGTGGCACAGTTCCAGGCGGAGATACTCACCTTGAGATAGCCTCACACTTTACGTGCTGCTCAGTGCTCACCCTTCATCTTCCACTTCGGTCTTGCAGGCTCATTTCCCTAGACCTGCTCCTCCAACTCTACCCTCCTATCATGCCACCCCGTCACAGCTGCTTGCGGCCGTTGCCTCCACCTTTGTTGGACCTTCCACCAGCAACCACGGCCCATAGCCTGCCTGACTTCAACTGCAGCACCGGCCTCGACATTTGCCACCGCAGTGCAGGCCGATCAGCCTCTCTCCCCTCTCCGTCATCATAGCGGTTTCCCCTTATGCGCCTGTCAAATATACCCGATGACGACGGCACACTTCCTGTGTCTCATTGGTTGCAGGCCGCCACACGTGCGTTGACACTGACAAACACTAGTTAGGAGTTGTGAGACAGCGCAATCACCGCATGGGAGAGCTACTATACCCATCGTACTCGCACAGGTGAGGCTCCCACTTTTGTGGACTTCACCGCCTTCCTTCATGACCTCTATGACACTCAGGACGACGTGACCAACGCCTTAGATAAGGTCGCCCAGACACAATGGCCTGGGTCCTCCGCACTGGCAGACCTAGAGTGTCACATTCGGGTGTTTCAGGACGTCGGCCGCTTTTGTGATGAAACACTCCTACCAAAGGTTCTTCAAACCAACAGGTTCCTCGTCAGTCTTCCGATTAACTACCGCATCAAGCTTTGGTGACAAACCTTCACCTCCCTAGAGCAACCCTACGAGGCTGGTCGACAGTACCAGAGGATGTAGAGTCGCTTCTCCGATGCCTCATCCTCTTCTCGACCACGCCCAACTCAACCTGGAGCGCCATTCTGTCTACAATAGAGTTCCCTCGAGTACCACGACAACTCTCCGACAAAGATCGACCCTACCCTTGGGGACGCCCCCGAGGACCTTGTGCTTCGGAATGCCAACCAGTACTACTTGGATGACGAGACTATCTCGATGGTCGACCACTTGCAAATAGTGATGTCTGCTGTCGGAGCAGAAACCCTTACAAGGGTATCTGGTTGGGTTTTTCAATGTCGGACGTTGTCCAACTTTTTCGTTAAATTGGGGAACTTGATGAAACTGACGTATGCCAGAAGTCTATTCAGACTAGCCTATGACCGAGGGACAAAAACGATTCTGAACTAGGCGCTTATGACGTCCGATAACAATGGGGATAATCGGCAGTGTGACCAGTCATATGCAGTTTCTGGTAGGGCCGCGGAGGCACATGGTCGTAGGAATGCTAAGGGTGGTGACAACCCCTTGGCAGAGATGAGCACCAGGTACCCAGACCCGCACCCACCTGCACCCACCCCACCCACGAGGACATTGGGTCAGGTGCGGGTCTTGATAAGGTGACCTGGGTGGGATGAGGGCGGGTCAAGGCCAGGTAGCCTGGGTGGGTGACAGGTGGGTCAACATTAGGCCTGGGTMACCCGAGTGGGTGGGTGACAGGTGGGTGAGTGCTAGGCCTGGGTCACCCGACCCACAGACCCAGGACAACCCATGAGGACCCCCCCCTCCCCCCAATCCCTGCACGAAATGTCCACCCCTCTAAAAAAGTCGAAGGTGCACGCAAGAAGCGTCAAGTCCCGCCGTCGGCCTGCCTGAAAAAAAAAGAAAGTCGAGTCCTCCTGAAAAAAAAAACAGGAACCTTCTTTCAAATTTTTCACACGCTGCTCTTGCCTCTTGGCGGCTGCACCACAACCCACGTTTGGATGAGTTACCGCTTTCAAACGGGATGTCGAATTTCGCTCCCATTAAAACAACACGGGGCGAACCAAACCACAACAGGTGGCAAGATTGGCTCCCTACTTTCGAAGTTCTGGAGCGCTTCGAATTTTAGCGCCGTCATCCAACGACGGCGTACCGACGACCTGGGGAGCAACAGAGCAGCTGCGAGCCACGCACCGACGATGAGGGGAGCCACGCACTGATGGCCTGACGAGCAACGGCGCTGCTACAAACGAGCAACAATCGAGAGAGAGAGAGAGAGAGAGAGAGAGAGAGAGAGAGAGAGAGAGAGAGAGAGAGAGAGAGAGAGAGAGAGAGAGAGAGAGACCGACTCCACTTTTCCTCATCCCTCCACAAACACGCTCCGATTCAGGCGTGAAATCTGATGAGAGAGAGACAGAGAGAGAGAGAGAGCGAGAGAGAGAGAGAGAGAGAGAGAGAGAGAGAGAGAGAGACCAATGAGAGAGAGATGCCTCTCTCTCTCTCTCTCTCTCTCTCTCTCTCTCTCTCTCTCTCTCTCTCTCTCTCTGTTTGTGTGTGTGAGCATGTTTGATTTTGTCATGTCACGTTATAATATCATATTGTCTGCAAATGTTCGAAGGGATAGACAATAGCGGGCACGGTCGGCTGGGCGTGAAAAGATACTACATCCCGGGTGTGGGCGGGAAATGATTTTGTTGTGGGTGCGGGTGGGTATGGGTGAACCTTTTTTACGGGTGGCGGGTGGGTTGGGCGTGGGCGTAAAAATTTGGAAAAATGCTTGGGTGGGTTGGATGAGCTTCAAACCTTTTTTTTTTTTTTTTTTTTCTTAGTGTGGCATGTACTAAAAAAAATGTGGGTGGGTTGGGTGAAGTGCATTTAAAAGAAAAAATGTTCATCTCTGCCCCTTGGGGAAGAAAGTTGTGCCCTGCGGAAACCTATCCTATCGTAGGGGACCACGGGATGTACAGCTGGTGCACCCGGCGATCGCGGTGAAGGGGCGACGTGACCTCGGCCATCTCGACGGTCCGCGGGGTTACTTTGCATCGTCCTTGAGATATCTCTAATTTTATTTTATTTTTTTAACTCTTGCGTGACATGGCCGGGAGGGCTCCCGCCTCTTCGCGAGAAAAAGGCGGGGGCCGATGCGCTCGACAGGTGGCGTCCTTGATGGGGATAACGACAAACTACCGTTGTCCCTGGTGGAACGACACTCGGGTAATGTAATTTTGATCAATACACATGGATTGTGCATATATATATATATATTACTAAATATAAGTATCATTTTTCTATTGATTTATCTAGTATTTTCATTATATAGATCTTATAAGTTTTAAGATATTGAAATATTAAGGCCCCTGCCTTTTTCTCGCGAAGAGGCTGGAGCCCTCCCGGCCATGTCACGCAGGAGTTAAAGACAAAAAAAAATCAGAGACAACTCGAGGACGATGCAAGGTAACCCCTCTGACCGTCGAGACGACCTCGGTCGTGTCCTCCCTTCGCTGCTTTAGCCGGGTGCGCCAGTTGTACATCCCGCGGTCCCCTACGACCGGTTAAGTTCCCACGGGGCACAATTTTTTTCCCTGAGGGGTTGTCACCACCCTTAGGGGCATATCCCTACCGAGCTACTGACCCACGTGCGTGCTTTTAAATGCAATTGCAGAGGTAGGTCAGCCGAGTGTATTTGCTCACTCGCTATAGTATAGGTACACATGGTTATAACGCGTATTGAATCCGAACGTCGTTCGTCCATTAGGGCACTGATCTTCTAAGAACGAAGTGTACGCGGGTCGACTAGGACGGTCTCAACCAAGTTTGAAACCCACAGAGTCCTAGTCC